CCCCAAGACAAACCGCTCCTTCACCAGGGCAAAAAGAAATTAATTCTCTATCCTTCTTTCTAAGCCGCAGATGAACTGAGAAGGGGTAGAAAGAACGAGCGTTGCAGGGATGGAACTTTTCTGAACTTGGCTACGGTGGTGTTTACATGAATCTGGACGTGGCAAAGGAGCTTAAGATGAACACACACGCTTGCATGTAAAACTAGTGAGCTCTGAATAAGGCGGATGACGGTACGGGCCTCCGTCCTCGCCGTGATTAGCTACGGTAGTTGGGTGCCCTGTTGGCCGGGCCCGTAGCGAGGCTGGGGGTGGCGCTCTGAGAGTTCTCTGATCTACTCACAATGGCATGTGAGCCCACAGTGATCTCAAAGTAAAGTTTTTCCAGAAAAATGAATGGGGACCGTTTTCTTATCATGACCACTGAGCAAAGGGGTGTTGAGATGATTCCATCTCATCTGGAAAAATTAGACTGAAAGCAGTGCCACTGAAGTGCTTTAAGGTAAGTGCGTTGTGACTGTGGAATTGAGGCTTCGAGGAGGGACGGGCTGGGGACGGGGTGCACGGGGGGGGGGCGGACCGTGGGCGGACATCTGAGGCCGTGCGATCCTGAGCCTCCGAGCCACATACTGTGTTGTCAAACAACGGTACCTCAATACAAAATAAATAAGTAAATAAATAAATGATTAAAGCACATCAGTTATGAAAAGCAAATCAAAGACCATGATTGCAGTGGGGTTTTGTTTTCTGTTTTAACGTTGTCTAAAATGAAAGAACTTAGGGGAAGAAGGGGGGGGCAGGAAATGGGAAAATGGCAGAAGGCAAGAATGGGGGTGTCGGTATCAAATAGTTCCGCTGCCTGCATAGTCACATGACACCTTCTGATTTGGCCTCCCTTAAAGGTGCCAAAGCTCAGGTACAGAATTTATTCTTGTAATCTTCTGGGAGGACAGGGCTACTTTGCTATTCTCTTTTTCTTTCCACCTCTCATATTTATGTGCTGGATATACATCTGGGTGGGTGATTGTGCGTGTGTGTCATTATATCTCACTTTGTTGACAGGTGACAATCTTGACTTAAATTCAGCGCTCCCTTGAAGGCGATTGTAGTAAAAGAAATTAATGATCCTTAACGTTTGATTCAACCGCAAACTATTCTTCAAAGAATTTGTAGCCTACTGCCAGCATTATTCTTTTGCGCACTCTCACTTTTTACAGTAAATATCCTACTAGCTTTGTTTTTAGGTGACCAAAAGAAATGATCTCACTTTAAAAACTTGGGGTTTATTGGAAAATGTCTTTCCAGGTAAATCAATTTTATTCTAGTGGGGAGATAAAGCCTGTTGCTTTTAAAACTTTTAATGAAATAGTTTTCAAATCTTCATCTCCATAATTCACAGGAATTATGGGAGCAGTGTGATCCAATGGTCATGCAGCGTTCAGATTTTATTAGGTATAAAAACCGACTTTGCAACCATGATCACCTCATAATCAAACCCAGTTTGGCGCTCATTGAAAGTGTTTTCTGTCATTTCACAAAGGCTGATTAACTTTATTGCGCATACAACTTAAAAATATCTGACACTTTTTCCATTTCTATCTTTTTTTCTTTTTTACCCCTCACCTCCACCAAACCCCCTATGCCCATTTTCCATTTGTCAAAGTATTCTGGAATGATAGATTTTACCTTCCAGTCCCTGGTCTAGTTTCTGACATACTGCAAACCGCAGGGACTTTCAAACAATCAAGTATAATGGATCCTTCAGATTTCCACAGTGGATATTCTCACATGAAATATCCTGTATATGAAAAAAGTTCCAATTTTTATCCAATAATTCAAGTTGATTGATATTTACTCATTTGTGAATTGTATCCTGCCTTCTTTAAGAAGCAGGTCAAGTAGCTTACTCTATGATTAATAGAAACCACTGTTGTATTTTCTACAAACTAGGAGTCTCCCATTAGTTTCCCACTTCTGTGAACCTCCTTGTTCTGTATTTTTTTTTTTGACAATGTCCTCCCTCCACCTGTGAGGTTGAGCCACGTAATTCACCAGTCTGCTGGGCTGTACCTAGCATTTTCCTTAGGATCCCACCTCTCTGAGTTTCTGATTTGGAAACTGCCCTATGACACTTGTCAAGGCCCTCAATATGGACTTCGTGCCATTGACTACTGCCATATTGAGCCAGAACGAACTCCCTTCTTCCTAATGGCCATCTATTTCCCATTTCTAGGCAGAATGTTTAAGGAAATATGTGCACTCTCGTGCCACAAATCAAATGTGCTGTTTTTACTTTGGGGAGGGAAACTCGCCAGGAGTAGATCACTGATGCCTGGTTAACAGAGTCCCAAAGAATTCTTCACCTGCGTCTCACTTAGCATCTGTGGTAGTCACTCTGCAGTGCTCAGGAACAAGGTTTCCATGTTACTTCCAAGGAAATTAAACTTGGGAGTGTCCATGACCTCAGTGCAATGGCCTCAGTAGACAAGTTGGGACTTGAATCGAAGTTCCCTTTCCTAACAGCTAATGTTCATTCCAGAGACTGTCTCTGACTCCATGCAGAAGCACCTACGGACTCAATTCTGAAGTCCAAGTCAGAGTTCCAGACTGAGCCATGTTTGCCTCGGCCACCTGTGGAAGCCAGGTTGCTGGTTTGTGATGGGAGCTCTCGGCAGTCAAGTGTCCACCTGCCCCTTCTTGGGCTCCAGGCCTCCTATTTGTGGGCTAGAGAGTCACACCTCAGTGATACAATTGGGCACCTCCCATGTTGCCATTTTGCTTCAGAGTCCACAGGAGTCTAGGGCCTGAGAGAGGGGCGCAGTCCACAGAATGAGCCCTGGAGGAACCTGTCTTTAGCCGTCACTAATTCGCAAGCGTGTGTCAGGCCTGACTCTGTACTACTAGATTGTAAATGCCTGGAGAGCTGCACCCATGGTCTCTTCTAGAACTGGGAGGGATTCTGCTATGTGAAATAAGTCAGGAGAAAGGTAAATACCAGATGGTGTCACTTATGGGTAGAATATAGGAAAATGAAGGACCAGACAAAGCCAAACTTTGAAACCAACCTTCGGAGTCTGGCTGTAGATGGTTGTTAGCTTTCAGAGGAGGGATGGAGTGAAGGTGAGAGGGAGAGAGCATGGACTATGGCGGAGGATTGGGGGGTACTTCCATAGTGCACGGTGACTACCTGTGGAGGCGTCCTGTGCTGTCAGATCACTAGCAAGGATGGAAGACAGTGGCACCTCGACGATACATTATATAAAAAATAAAAATGACAGACTATGAAAACTTTATTTCCTAGGGGATAACCTAGCACTATAGTAACACTATTTTCTGAATTAACAAGTCTATGTTTGGGGCCCTCCCTGGTGGCGCAGCGGGTTAAAGCACAGCACTGAGAAGCTAAAGCCGCTTCCGCATGAGTTCGATTCCCGCCTGCCCCGGAGGTGACCACATGGCGCGGCAGACCTCTCCTGACCCGCCCGCTGTCCCCTCTGCAGTGTACTTCGTCGATCTGCCTGTTCTGCTCCCCACTCTGTCTCTGGTGAATCCTCTCACCCTCCGCATCTCTGGCCTGTACCCCAGTTCTGTATGAATAAATAAAAAAATCTCTTTAAAAAAAAAAAAAACAAGTCTATGTTTGGGCACAAAATATAGTAGTACTCAGTCTTTAAAACTCTAGAATGTCACAGAACTGTATGGACTAAGAAAGACCCTGGGAGAGTGTTTCCTAAGTGTTTTGACACTTGGATTCCATAAGGACTCTCAAATTCACAGACACCAGGGGGTCATCTTCCCTGTGATGCAGAAGGGTCTCTGTCGGGGTATAGCAGACAAAACCCCAGAGCTGTCAAGTCACCTCGATGCAAGACAGTGAAAGGAACAGGCCAGGTTTAGACAAGTTGATTAAGAGACTTCACAGTAAGCTTCAAAATCTTGAACTTTGAAGGTTAGGGAGGACTGAAAACACTAGGTAAATGGGCATCAGTAAGTTTTACAGTGAACATTTGTCAGTCACTTAAGCAGCTGTTTGTAAACCACACGAATCCCAAATTTCACCAGGTTATTGCTTCCCAGACATTAACTTGAAGGAAGTAAAGGCGACTCTCAACATTGCCTCTGACACTTAAATCTGCCTCCTGCAGGGCCCCCACTCGGGCCTCCCTCCCACTGGCTCGGTCTCCCAACAGTGCCTTCTGCCAATTCTTTCTTAGAAAAGTGCCAACAGGATTTCTCTGGAGGCTTTCAGAGGTTTCTGTGGCCTCAGGTGTGGAGCGTTGGGTCACGGGACAATGGAGGAAGAGGAAAGAACTGGGATCTGGTTTAGGTATTTTTCCTCCTGCTTGGCACAGGGAGGAAAAAATAAATAAAACAGAAAACTCTGCCATATCGATGGCGTCAGTGTTAAATTAAATTAAGATCATCTGTTTGGCTATGGCAGTCGTAATCTTCTGATTATTGAGGATATTGTTGGTAATGAAGTACATTTGTAAGAAATATTTTTAGTGTGTTCCAGAGACATGTACAAACTGTGAGGTATGCAGCTAATAAAATGATAGATTTAGAAATTGCCCAGCACCTCAATTCATGCTTCTCAAACAGCTATTTATAGAAAGAAAAGTGATATTTAAGCTACCGTAGTAGAACATTATAATCTGCCTTATATTACCTTAGATAATAGTCCCATCTTTTAAAATAATGTGGGTGAGCCATTCAATTATTTATTCACACCTAAGTTATATAAATGGGAAGATTTGGGATCTTGCGGGAAAAGAATTATTTTTACAAAAGTAAGACCTCACCGTCATAGCTTAAAGAGATGGCCGTGAAACAAGTTATACTATAGATAAAAATAAAACAAACTGCCATGAATTTTTAATAGACAAAAAATATTTTATGGAGACATTAAAAGCAACTATTAATTTTAATCCTTTCTGTTCTGAAGTGAAACGTCCATGTATCTGGCCATGCTCGAGGTTTAATAGGCACCTCTCTCCTGATAGGTCCTGAACACGTACAGTGAAATCTCTGCAGACCTGGAGGATGACCTCAGCCTGGGGAGAGCGTACGAAGCCATGGCCAGGGCCCTGCAGAGGTGAGTGAGCTCAGCGCTGTCACTGTCCACTCAGCCGTGGAAGACTGAAATTGTTTGAGGTCTCTCGCTTTCCATTACTGCCAGCTTCATGTCTGAGCAGGGCCCTCTTTAAGTGACCCTTTCACCCTAAGTGACTCTAAGCCAGTGTGGGATTTTAAAATATGCACCTTACCGACTTCTTTGTCTGTTCCTCTTTTGTATTATCTTTTGCCTTGATTTTCTGTTAAGTTTAGCCGTTAACATTGAACGAATGGAAAAAATCAGGTCACATCTCACAGGCTAAAAAAGCAGAGAGCGCAGGAATATATAGTATGCTTTGGTAACTGTGGCTCGCCGTAATCTTTCGGGAGTTCTTCTTGCGAGAAAATTCCCGTTGATGCTTCCATCACGCGTTTCCATGAAGACATCTCTGCTTTGAGTGTGTCGAGAGCCACTGTTGGGTGCAAAAACAGTATTCCAGTGTTTTATGTAACATATAAAATTGAAAAAAGTGTACAGGAACAACTTCTGATACAAATTTCTCCAGGGCTAAAGTATATGATTTGAGCGTGGCAAATTGTGTGGTGAGCTCTGAGGACTCCATGTGATTGTCTGCTTTATAGTAGCATAATGATGTAAGCCAAGACAAAACAGGAATAAGAAAAGTAATTAAAGTTGAGGCCTTCGTATGTGGGCTGTTATCTTACCTCCAAGATACAGCTTTTCAAAAGTGAAAGTGGGAGTAATAATAATAGTAGGAGAGATTGTATCAAGCCCTAATTACTTGCATTGGTAGATCAGTTCTAACACAGCATGGTTTCTTCACCTTTCTTACATTTAATGTAGTCTTTATTGTATTCAAATAAAATATAGCTTTTGGTACACTTTCTATTTTTTTAAGATTTACTTATGTATACAAGAGCTGGGGTAAAGGCCAGAAGTTCAGGGGGTGAGAGGATTCACCAGAGACAGAGTGGGGAGCAGAACAGCCAGATGTACTGAAATACACTGCTGAGGGGAGCAACAGGTGAGACAGGAGAGGTCTGCTGCACCACGTGTGTCAGTCAGCTCCCTGGCCAGGAATCGAATCTGTGCTGCAGTGGCTGCAGATAGCTTTACAGTGCTGAGACTCCACCCTTTGCACCAGCAGGAAAACCCAACTTTTGGTCTACTTTCAATTGAGTGGAACTGACTTTAGATTGGAATCTTTGTTCATTTTCTTTTTTTTTTTTTCCTTAATTAATTTTGTTTTCTTACAGCATTGCAGTCTCCTGCTACCATATTACCTGTGAACCATCACCATATTCCCTGGTGTTCTGCCCTCTCCAATTTTGACCCCATTCTCTCCCCCCCCCCACAGGATTGTTTCTTTAAAGTTAAAATTGTTATTGAAAAAAAGGATATTTTTATGACTTTTTCTTAGCTTACCACTGGTTTACTGTATGTATAAATTGGGGGGATATAATTTCACAGCTCTTTGCACCCACCATGGACCCCTCTTTCCTCCACTGCCCTTTCTCTTCCACCCTAGTAATCATCACATTTTGATACAGCCTATGAGTTAGTTTTGTTGTGTTCTGTTAGTTGCTTGAGTTAATTATTTTCCACAAATTAGAGATATCATCCAGTAACTGTCTTTCTCTGTCTGACTTACTTTGCTTAGCAGAGCCACCTCAAATTCTATCCACATTATCATGGAAGACAAGATTTAATCCCTTTTAATGACTGAGTAGTATTCCATTGAGCATATACACTACAGTGCCTTTATCCATCTTATATCGATGGGCATTTAGGTTGTTCTCACGTCTTGGCTGTTGTGAGCAATGTTATGAACATAGTGGCACAGATATTTTTTTGAATTTGTGTTTTATATTCTTCAAATAAATTGCTGAGTCTTACGGTTACTTCTATTTTAGTATTTAAAAGAGTTTCTGTACCATTTCTGCAGAGGCTGCATCAATTTATATCCCCACTAACAGTGGGTGAGCGCTCCTTTTTCTCCACATTCTTTACAGCATTTTCTGTTGCCACTCTTTTGAGTGGAGATTGTTCTCAGAGATGTGAGGTGCTCCTGTTGTGGTTTTGATTTGCATTTCCCTAATAATACATGAAATGAGTCATTTTTTTTTCACATGCATATTGGCCATCTTTATTTCTTCTTTGGAAAAATATCTATTCAAATCTCCTGCCCACTTATATTTTGACTCAGCTCTTTAATTTTTTTGTTGTCCAGACGTGTGAGTTCCTTATGAAGACAAGGCAGGGTGTATTCAGGTCTTATACCCAAGCCTTTAATCCATTTTGAGTTCATTACTGTGAATGGTGTTAAATAATGATCTAGTTCAATTTCTCGGCAAGTGGCTGTCCAGGTTTTCCAACCCATTGTGTTGAAAAGGATTTCCTGAAATGAGTGCTAACATGCTGGACACCTACTGCACTGAAAGTTCTATATATAATAGTCACTAGTATATAATTACCATTACCCATGTAATAATTACTAAATATTGAATAATTATCTAGGTGTTAAACCTTCAGTGCCAGTGCCATGAAAGGTGCTCTACAAAATACCAAATAAAATGCAATGCTGTCCTTGTTGGTAAATGGCTCAGAGACACAGACACATTTATGTGCAGCATGTAGGCACTCAGTCAAGGAAGCGGGGTCAGCCATGCGAGCAGCCTGTGAGTGCGGTGGTCCTGTAAATAGAGGTTGATAGCATGGGAGAGCCATCCAGCTCTCCCTTAAACTTTAATTTTCCAAAACAATGAAAAAGAACAGATACTTGAACACACTAGAATCATCAATGTTCAGTTTAATGTCTACTTGGAACACATCAGCTCTGTGTCCTTTTACCCCATATTTTGTTTATGAATTGACTCAACTCTTCTTTTCCTACTTTCCAGAATCAGTAGGAAATAGTTGTGTCTTGGATTTTAGTAGCCGTCCTGGCCTAAAACCTATAGAGTTAAATAAATGTGTACCCTTTAACCTGTTTAGAAAATAATCTTTACAAAGTAGTATTGTGTCCCAACATAACAAAAGAGAGAAAACTCCAGGGAAAAACATTTTCTTTTCTAAACATATATCGCATACCTACTGGGTCTCAAACAAGACCAGCTCTTTGGTTACTGATGGTGTTTTGCAAACATGGCATGAGGTTGTCTTGGACTAATTCTCACCTGTTAAACTGGTGTCTCGTCTGGAATGTTTTAGTCTCCACTCCAGCATGCAGTAAAAGCTAAGGGGAGAATTGAACTATTATCTGGTAAATATGGGCAATAGTAACAACGATCATTAATGTTTGGATTTGGCTGCCGAAGTGTAGTTTAGTGTTGAGGTGTGGGAAAGGATGCAGCTGTAGTTGATGTAGTATGAAGTAGGGAATCTACACTAAACAGTCTAGCAGCCTGCCTCAGGGCAGACATACAAGGGACAAGAGATTTATCCCCACCTCCTTTTCACCAAACGAAAGAAAATTTCTCTTATAAGAATCCTCATCTACTCAAGTACAAATGAAGCCGTCAGTGGTTTCTAGAGCAGAATTGGGTTTTTAATTTTATAACATTGTGCACTGCACAAAAGAGGGCAGGTCATGCTTCTCTTGAGGTCACAGAGAAAATGTGCCCAAGGCCACGCGGGCTTTCGGATCAGGGCCGCCATTTTGCAGTGATGAGGTGTTATGGAGGAACACTGAGCCTTGCGTATTTTATCATTTGTGTAAAATCTATTGACACACAGGTATTTTAAAGACAAAAACTGTAGACACATGACACACACACACACACAGAGCTGCACACTTATATCCCTTTCATAGTTCTAACTTTTCCTTCTTGGATTAGCGGCCAAGTGCAAGAAATGGAGCACAGCCCGAATAGAGGAAATGATGGTCGTGGCATTGAGAAATAAATCAAGCTGTGTACGAAGCTTAGCTTCACCTCTAAATCTTTTTTTCCTAACCTGTGCAATTGCACAAGTTTCACTAATGGTAGCCCTGTCTCTATAAACATATTTTATCTCTTTAAAGGAAATGGAAGAGGATAGCCATGTCTAGGATAAGTGTGTGTCTAGGGCCATCAACTGAGTATGCGTGAAAGGTGAATAAACTCTGAGGCTGGAAGCTTCTAAAATGGTTATAAGAATTTATACCAAGCTTTCAGTTGAAAAACAGACCACATTCCCTCAAGACAGGGACCTGGTGATTCAGGGTTACCCACTTGGTAATGCTACACCCAGCCCTGGCTTTATAGAGTTATTGATGAAAATCTTAATAGTGAACAAGGTGTTTATGTTGCTATCAGTCTGAGGAATATTAATTCCATAAGGCTTTAAGCAAAGTAACGAAAAAATAGCATTCGCAGTGTATTTCTTCTCTGTTTGGAATACTAGTGAAAAACAGAGTTGATGATCTAAAATGAAAACAGTTGCCTCTGAGACAACTACAAAAGCCAGAACTATGGTCCATATAACAAGAGAGGTGAAATGAGATGTTATGTTGTAAATATAATTATTGTTACATGGACAAAATTTAGGTAAATCCAGAAGGGAAAAAATACTACATTTTCTTTACAGCATTTTTGTGCCTCATTTACTAAAATAACTCATTTACTGAAATGCCCCAACTTTTAAAAGGAATCTAAGGGCCCTCCCTGGTGGCGCAGTGGGTTACAGCACAGCACTAAGAAGCTAAAGCCACTTCAGCATGAGTTGGATCCCCGCCCACCCCGGAGCTGACCCACATGGCGCGGCAGACCTCTCCTGACCCGCCCGCTGCTCCCCTCAGCAGTGTACTTCATCCGTGGGCCTGTTCTGCTCCCTGCTCTGTCTGCTGGTGAATCCTCTCACCGCCCCTGCACCTCTGGCCTGTACCCCAGTTCTATGTGCACAAATAAATAAATATTAAAAAAAAAAAGAAATCTAGAGGTAGAAAAATCCCCCCAATGAGAGCTGTTCACCACACAGTGGTCATAATTAACCCTGTCTGGATTTATTCCATACCCCCCGCAAATTTTCTTGCCAACCTGAGTTAAATTATTTCCTAGAAAACTTTTCACATTGGAGATCTATAAATCAATCAGTGCAAAGTTTCAAGTGTGAAAATTACCTTTCTGTTCTAACTGAAAATTAATTTCTTCTTGCTTGAGAGAAATGACATGCCCTAGTAATTTTCATATATTCCTTAAAATGGCACATCCGAGCTTTGATTTGAAATTTCCTAAAAATGATCCCCCAAAATACATCAAAACATTTCTATTAATTCATGGAATTAAGTACATTTTCTCCTGTCACTGATTCCATTTACCTTATTACTGTCATCTGTGGCCCACAATCCTGGTGGCACAATCAACAAGCCCTCGTTGGCGGTTTCATCTCTGCCCTATTTGATTTCTCCTCTCTGAGTAAATGATTAAGTTTTCATGCATTGGTTCAACCAAAATCTATGTTCACTCAACCACGTCCTTTATTGATTACTTCTACTGCAAACAGTAGGCCAAGTGTGATATACATAATTGGACAGTTGTCGGGGGATGTGGGTGTTAACGGGGCTGAGGTCCCAGTTGGAAACAGGAATCACCTTGATACACAAATATTCTGCACTGTTTCATTCTCCTCCTTTGGACCGAGGAGTCCTGTTCCTCAGAATATATGTTTTTAACTCTCTGAGGTCTGGTTGAATGAGTTTAATGATTATACCCTATAATATGCTGTTCAAGCTGCACCTGTGCACTGCATATAGAAAACTGGAATTAATATTTGTCTAACATTTTAACCTTGTCCTTTCACTTATACAAATCATCAGTAGCTTCTCTGTTAAAAAAAAAAAAATTGATTCTTTCCCTCTCTGAGAAACACAGGCTTTGGAATCTAGTGCTCACTTTTAACTTGGAAAATCCTGTAAGCGACACATAGTGTATTTCAGATGCTGTGTTAACTTTGCTGACACAGAACTGGACATTCATTGATATTGTTACAGATAATGTCCCTAGGAAACATGCATGTACAAGTTCGTGTGTTGACATATGTTTTCATTTCTTCTGTGTCGAAGTAGAAGCTGAATTAATGTTATTTACTGCAGGAAGACTGATTTTCGAGCATATTTCTTAGAGCAACTTCCAGATAATTTTGGATGTTTTTGTTAGAGCTGTAGCCCCTTTGGAAGAAAAATAACTCAAGTCACCCAGCAATAGTTTTATTTATACTCTTTTGGATTTCTTGTTCAACTGAACTTGTTTTTTTGTTTGTGTATATGTGATTTAACAATCCTCAATAGGCCAAACCTAATCCAAAATGTACCTCCATCAAAAACATATCAACTTTCAGGAACATGAACATAAATAAGATTCAGTGAGGCCATTTTAGCTAAATAAAAATAATAATTTTCCCCTAAGGTTTTAAAGTGATATGCAAAGAAGTCTCTACTTCTGTTCTTATTTCATCAATTTCTCTCGAGTGCTACAGTCTGAGAAACTGTTTGGAGACTAAACAATATCAATTTGATAAAACATTTTAGTTCTAGAAATCTACAAGTTTGGTCAAAATTCTAAGCCATGTAATATTTTATTTATTAATGATTTTATACATCTCCATCTTAGTTATACCACAGAACAAGCATTTGAATTAGTGTGTATCCCTCTCTTTGTCTGTGTTTGCAGCATTCCTCATTTGACAAATTTTCTGGAGAATTGGGTTGTGCCTAAATGTGGAAGATGATTCATAATTTTGTTATGAAATCATAAGGAGCCATGGAAAAATACTTACGACCTCAAGGATGTGAAATCCCATACCATTTTCTGCCTGTGGAGCATTCTTTTTCCACTAAGCAAGGGAATAACCCTGCATTTGATAGTACCCGATTCTCAAGTAAACAGAAAATGCTAGTTCTTTAACTCTTCTTTCTAAAAAATAGACACCATGATTCACCTGCCCATCCGTGTTGTGGAGCGCAAGTTCACATTTGGCTGCGTTCACTGCATAATGAAAGACCTCCGAAAAGTAATGCTTAGCTAAATTGACTTTTCTTCTTAACTGGTGGTAGATTACAGAGCTGTAGACATGATAGTTTTTATTTCATTGGGAAGTAATAATGATGCTGTCGTTTCTTGAATCCCTCTTATGTGCCAGGCTATACATATATGTAATTTTTCATCTCACAACAATCTAGGACCATGTTTTAAATGAGGAAACTTTAACTGAAAGATTATATTTTGAAAAAAACAACCAACTTTATTGGGATCTAACTCATATACTGTACAACTTAGCCCCTTTATAAAGACTATGAGTCAACATCTTTTTTATAAATGAGTTTCTTTGTTTTTTTTTTTTACATTTATTTATTTATTCATGCAGAACTGGGGTACAGGCCAAAGGTGCAGGGGCAGTGAGAGGATTCACCAGAGACAGAGCAGGGAGCAGAACAGGCAGCTTGATGAAGTACACTGCTGAGGGGAGCAGCGGGCGGGTCGGGAGAGGTCTGCCATGCCATATGGGTCACTTCCGGGGCCAGGGATGGAATTCACACTGAAGCAGCTGTGGCTAGCCGGCAGGGCTATGTCCTAGCCCATTGTGACACCAGGAAGGGCCTCAGTATTTTTTAGTAAATGTACAGAACTTTGTAGCTATCACCTCTATTTAATGTCTTCACTCCAAAGGAACCCCACACCACAAGCAAACACTCCCCATTTCCTGTTCTCCTCAACTCTGATAATCACACCTCCTTTCTGCCTCTCCTGGGTATTTTATCTCAGTGGAATTTCATCATACAATATGTTCTTTCGTGACCAGCTCCTTTTTTTTCATGTAGCTTACTTCACGACTGAATAATATTCCGTCGTATGCCACATTTTGCTTGTCCACTCGATAGATATTTGTTTTGTCCCATTTCTTGGCTATTACAAATATTGCTGCTATGAACATTCATGTACAAGTTTGTGTGTTGAGATAGGTTTTCATTTCTCTTGTATGAAACTAGGAGCTGAGTTAACATGGTTATAAGGTAACTCTCTGTCAACATTTTTGAGGAAGTGCCAAGTTATTTTCCAAAGCAGCTGCCCCATTTACCATCTGAACAGCAGTGCATAAAGGCTTCAGTGTTAACTCACTATATACTCCCACAAAGACAAGCCACATAATTTTCACTATCCACAAGGCACATATTGTTAATTTTGTCATTCTGTTAACCATCATGCACTTTGTACAGCAAAGACACAAAACACCTTTTCTTTGTTGCAGCATTAAATGCGATGACAGTCCACTGTTTTTCTATTTTTTCTTATTCTAGCAAAGGAGAGATGACAGAAGCAATTGAGTACTTGAAAAAAGTCGTGAAGATTGCTAGAAACAATTTTCAGTGCCTACATGTGGTGAGAGCAAGCACCATGCTTGGGGACATCTACAACAAGAAGGTGGGTGTGTGTTGGCTGCTTCTAGGGAGAAACTTGCAGATTTTTACAGTGCTGCACCTCTTGGCTATTTTTTTAAAGATTTATTTATTTGTGCATACAAGAACTGGGGTACAGGCCAGAGGTGCAGGTGTGAGAGGCTTCGTCAGAGACAGAGCGGGGAGCAGAACAGGCAGATGTACTGAAATCCACGGCTGAGGGGAGCAGCTGGGATGCAGGGGAGGTCTGCTGCACCATACTGGTCACTCCCTGGCCAGGGATTGAACTGGTGCTGCAATGGCTGCTGATAGCTTCATAGTGCTGCACTTCAACCCCTGCACCACCAGGGAGGGCCTAATCAGTAGTTCTTGAAGAAGAATTTAATAAACAAAGATTAGAGACATGAATAATATCCAAAGAGTATGTCAACAGCACAAGAGTTTGTTTTTTCACCAGTTTATCCCTATCCTAATATCAAGTTGGGAAGGTTTGAGGTATACATGTTATCTGCACACTTACATGCCTTCAAATACACAGGTTAATTCCTATACCTTACCAAGTCCTTACATTTTAACAGATGTTCCTATTTTCTATAATGACTATAGTGTATGATTAAAGCTAATGCATCTTAAAAATATCATTTATCCTAATTTGTTTACCTTTTACTATATAGTTGTAGAAAATTAACTACCCACTCACCTTTCTGATATGATCTTTTGCTGGATTGTTTTATATATATATAATTATCAAATAAGAATGTTCTAGGGAAAATAAGTAGATGTAGATCCTTTAGGATACTTTTCATTTCCTAATAATATCAAAGAGTAATTGCATCTTTAAAACAATTGTTCCAATACTATGTAGGGAAAATGTAAAAGAAATTATTCTTCTTTACTACTGAAAAAAAAAATGCCCACTAAAAGCTTGCTCATTGGGGCCTTCCCTGGTTGCCCAGCTGGTTAAAGCACAGCACTAAGAAGCTAAAGCCACTTCCGCATGAGTTCGATCCCCGCCTGCCCCAGAGATGACCACATGGCGTGGCAGACCTCTCCTGACCCGCCCGCTGCTCCCCTCAGCAGTGTACTTCATCAATCTGCCTATTCTGAGCCCCACTCTGTCTCTGGTGAATCCTCTCACCCTCCACATCTCTGGCCTGTACCCCAGTTCTGTATGAATAAATAAAATCTTTACTTGGATAAAAGTGACGTCTTAGGCACTAAGAAGGATCTGGTAAGAATTAGAACAATGCATGAAAATTCTGGTTTGTGTCTATGATGTCATCAAGCTCTTGTCCTGAAATCATCCATTGAGCGCTAATCAGTGATACTTGTAACAGTCAATGAAGTTGTCTCTTCTAATAAGGTGCTTTTATGAAGTGTATAATTCCTTTTTATATTCTCAAATTCATCTTCTATGTTGCTAGGGTTAATTACTGGAATCTTCAGAATTTCATAATAGGACTGGGGTTAACTGATAGCAGAAACTGGAAAGATTAGGCAGAAACTTCGAAGAAGACATTAAATTTAGATACTCGATTCCTTAAGAATTGAAAATCTGGAAATACTATATGCTTTCATGAAATCTCATTCTAAAACAGTACGTATACGGATGCTTGCATCTGCCAATTAATGTTGTATTTCCTTGAGAGTGTTTTAAACCAGAGGAATTTCAGTTGGTAGTTTCATGACAGTTGTGCGTGTGTCTGCAGATTGAATACAGATTGAAGGAAAAATAATTACCTAGTTAAAATGCTCCTATTTCAAATGGAAAAACAATCACTTGTTAGGCAACTTCCTCTAGCAGCAAACTCACCTTCTTAGCCAAAAACCCTGCTCACTGCTGGGTCCCTACTGCCTAGGTCTGGGCAGAGTAGTTACCCAATTATGAATGGATGAATGAATGAGTTTGTTCTAAGAATATGTTTGTGATTCTAGAAATTTAAATATATGTCCACTCATTTATGGTTCTCAGTTTTCCTAATTAAGCATCTCACCTCAAACAACAGACTAAAACTCAGAAGCAATAATTTTTAAACAATAATTTTTTTATTTAGATTTCTCTTTGTCATTGAAATGTTTGTTTTAGCCATATATGTTCATCTACTTTGTCCTGTATCTTTGATGTCATTTTAATGAGTTTTATTTTCATCCTCACTATTTGTATTGTTTCTTAATCATAGAAATTACCCAATTGGGATATAAATATCTTTGGTGCAGTGTTTGTTTTTTTTTTTAATGAAGGAATCACACTCTCATAATGAATTCTGTTGCATACTTCACAATGAGGCAAACCATGAAAAACAGAAATGTTTCCTAGAGTCTTTATAAATACAGTTCATCCTAAAAATAATTTCTTACTCTGAGAAGAAATTTTTTAATGAGGAATTTTAGAGGGCTGGTGGGAACGAATGATATTTCTTCCCAAAGTCAAGTTCAGATTTGTAGAACAAGATGCTATTTCCTCACAAGGTGACTTACACACATTAATGACACAGTAGATAGGAAGTGCTGAGCAGTGACTGACACGTTGTAAGAGCTAGGTAACTGCCACTGTGGGCAATAACCTAGGAGAAATGATGATGACCAGAATTAAAAAAGCAAAAAAAAAAAAAAAAAACCATAAGTTTCTGTAGCTGCCAAAAATTGTAAAGGAGTTAGGCAAGAGCTACACATGTAAGTAAGTTGTGCCAGTCAGTGCTGATCATATTTTTTAATATTAATTAAAAGCTATTTATTTTTGTAAAACAAACTTTTTTTTAATTGAAGTCACTGGTTTATATTATGGTTGGACATGGGGAGCAAGCGTGAAAGCTGAAGCATACCTGTGTTTTCACTTGACCATCCCTGGCCATCACTCTATGGATTGACTAATATGACTCCTCGCTGTGATTGAAAACAAAAGTCAGCTTAAAATACCTCATTAGGAAAATGCAATGCCATGAGTAAGCAAATTCCATCCAAATCAGGGTGTGAATTACTTCATTCTTCTCCAAAATCATTTACTACCCTGTATTAGGTTGAACCACACCTAAAAAAAGCTGACCTTTGACCCAGTAGTTCAATGTGGCTGATAGGATTTTCTTAGTAAATTGACTTCACGATGTCTGTGGTTCACCATGGCCACTTTTGAATAAAGACCCTTCCTTTGAAGGAGACCCTGCTTGTCACCCCTTTCTTCTTAAAGAGGTTAAAACTGTTGGATATCAGTGTAGTGCATGTCAACGTGGGCAAATATATGAAAGGCAAAATTAAGGAAGGAAGTCTTTCTCTTCCAGGGATACTACAACAAAGCTTCTCAGTACTTTCAGCAAGCCTTTGACACTTCCGTAGAGCTGACAAACATGTCTCTGATGGAAGAAACCAAAGTTCACTATGGAATAGCAAAAGCTCACCAGATGATGCTGACAGTCTGCAACTGTATCGAGTCTGCGGATCTCACCAGCCTTGACTGCCTGCTGTCGTGGAAGGAGAGTAGAAGTGACATCGGTACCGATCCAGTGATGGGTAAGGCATTGGCTTTGGAAAACAGTTTAGTCATTGAGTCATTGTAAGTAGGTAAGTCACTTTCATTGCTCAGGTGTATTCACTCACTGGTAATTTTAATTTTATTGGTAATTTTAATTTTCTTTATTCATTACCCCACGAGTGTTGTGTTCTTGTGTGATAGGTTGTACCTTTGTTGTGTACAGCAGGCATAATGTCATACTGATGATTAGCTCTTCTAAGCTGAGATGCAGCCTTATATTTTTATGGTTTTTATTGAAATAATATCACATTATAACATATGTCTCAGCACTGTAAATCAACACCCGCATTTGGTCCATTATGTTTGTCACCAAAAGTCTAGTTTCCATCCTTCATCCTACAACTAACCCCTTTTACCTGAGTCACCTCCCCCAGCCCCTTCCCTTCCAGCAGCCACTCTCTTGTTCTTCTTGTCTAAGTGTTTGGTTTGGTTTGTACCTTAGTTTTGTTTCTTTATTTTCCATTATGAGTGAACTCATATGGCGTTTGTCTTTATTCATCTGGTTTATTTTATTTAATACAGTACCATCCATGTTCTTGCAGATGGTTGGGTTTCTTCTTTTTATAGCTGAGTAGTACTCCATTGTGTACATAGACATCACATCTTCTCGAACCCATCGTAGGCTAATGGACAATTAGATTGTTTCCAAGCCTTGATCATCATGAAAAATGCTGCCATGAACATGGTGGTGGATATATCTCTTTAAGTAAAGGCTTCCAAGTTCTTCAGGTGAATACCCAGAAGTGAAATTTCTATTTTTTTATCTTTGAAGGAATTCCCATCCTGTTGTACATAATAACTGCTCCAGCTTGCCTTCCCACAAATAATATGCAAGGCCACTTTCTCACCATATCCTCCCAACATGTCTTGCCTTTTTAATAACCTCCATTCTCGTGGGTTTGTTTTGATTTTAGATGCAACTTCATTTTAACACCTTGACAACTGAGACAACATACAGTTGCTGTTGTTTTTAATCACATAAGAATTTAATACTTATAGTAATAATCATGGAACTTACTGTATTGTACTGTTCTTGAAAACGAAGCAAAATATTTGGAGATAGTTCCAAATAGCACCATAAGGCAAACTTGTCACATGAAGAAGTAGCTTTTGTTTGGAACTCTTTTCCCTTAGGTCATTTAGCTTAAGCAGTGATGTTTTGGTGTATATGTGCTCCAGAGAATAAATAGCAATTCAGTAGGCATAATGAATTTTATTGACTCTTTTACATCAGTAGGATAGCACTTACCCCTCTCTGTCTCCTGGTTCCAAATATATGTATGATAAGAAATCCTGCTAAGTGAAATAAGCAAGAGAGAAGGAACTAGTGGGTGGCATCACTTACATGTAGACTCTAGAGAAACCAAACAAAGGGTCAGACGAAGACAGTCAGCCCTGACAGCTGACCATCAAGCTCTAAGGCATCCAGGATGTGGCTGGATGTGGCACAGCTGACCATGGTGGAGACTATGGCTGGCGTGAAGGTGGGGAAGCTACAGTGACCACACCTGAGGTGAGAGATCCTAGACTATCAGAATAGCAACAAGATATAAAACAACAGTTCATCAGTTTTTTAAAAAATTACTTTTTTCAAGAACAGGTGGCTGGTTAAACTGCGATTCAGGTGAACTCTCAGCCGTTCACATGGTGGAGATGATTCACTTCCCCAGAATGTCATAGAACCACACCCCCTTACTGAGTCATGTGAGTGAGATTAGAAATCTATGCATGGATGAGCTATGTTGTTCTAAAATAAAAAAAAAAATAATGTTTTAGACTCAAACACAAGGAAGTTTATTCTCGTTACTGGCACGGGTATGTTTATGTTCTGTTTGGAAATAACACCTTGTAGGACATGGACATTTTTAGCTCTAAATATGCAGAAATATGTGTTTGATGCAAAATATTTCTTAAACTCCAACTTATTGTTCTGCCTTTATTCTCCTGAAAAATCTTCATTGGCTCCCTACTGCCTCCAAGGATAAGCTCAGACTCTTTGACCACCTCCCTTCCCTGACCTCCTCCAGCACACACACACACACACACACACACACACACACACACACACATACTTCACTATTACTTTACTTCAAGCTCCAGCCTCATCTAGGGAAATTCTACCATTTTGTAAGCATTTCTGAAATCCTAAAATCATCCCTGATGCCCCTTCTCATAAGACTACCATCTCTGTTTTCAGTCATTGCTGTCTCCCCAAGTTGTTCCCTGGTGTCAGATTCTGCACCCATCATGAACTTTTGCCTTATCTGCCTAATGAGAGTATGAGTCACTTGACAACAGATCCTGATTCTTAGTATTTGTGTAAAAGAAGGCAACCTATCTAACATCTACTGAGCAAATATTTGTCAAATGGAATGGAATTCAGAATGCGTCGGTACACCCTAACCATAACTACTTTGCATCTAACCATTTTAAAACAAGAGTCACAATTCTCTATCTCCTCAGAAACTATGAAAAAAAAAATTCTCTGATCCAATTCTGGGCTTTGCTCACCATCCAACTTCCATGTGAACATGGAACAATGATGACGATGTTGACAAAATGAACTATTTGAAACTCTGAACAGCTTCTGCGTTTTCCAACTGTGTCTTCTATGGAGGGGCAGCTGCAATCTGGGGTGTCATACATCCAGAAAAAAAGGCAGATCAGACCCTTGAAAGCTCTATTATAAGAGCTGCACAGTTAGCTTCACCTCTGAGACTTACATCCTCCAAACAAATCATGAACTCGTGGGGGCGGCAATATTCTCTTTTTTAAGATATATTTATTTATGCATAAGAACTGGAGTACAGGTCACAGGTGCAGGACAGTGAGAGGATTCACCAGAGACAGAGTGGGGAGCAGAACAGGCTGACTGACGAAGTACACTGCTGAGGGGAGCAGTGGGCGGACCAGGAGAGGTCTGCTGTGCCATGTGGGTCACCTCCAGGGCTGGAATCAAACTTACGCTGAAGTGGCTTCTTAGTGCTGTGCTTTAACCCGCTGTGCCACCAGAGAGGGTCCATAACTAAATTCCTTTAAGCAGAGGAACCTGCCCTGAAGCCAATAAACAGTGAGAGACGCGGGTCTCCAGATGAGTCACAGAGCCATTCACCTGCAGGCATCGCTGGTCTTTGTGGCTTTTAGAGGGAACCCAGCACGGCCGCACCTTCATGCTTTCGGATACTCTTCGGTATGGGTGGGTGACTTTATGCTCCTCCTTTCCTTTCCAAAAGTCAAGTAAGAATCAAATTTCCTCCCACATGTAGGAACTTAGGGGGAAAGGGAATTCAAATTCATTAAGTCCAATGCAATTATTCAAGCCTGAAACATCAGAAATTTGACGGGCCAGTGAATTTTTGCTGATTTCTTCAGAATAGACTTTATTTTTTTCATCAGAACTGTAACCTCCACAATCAAGAAAAAATTCTTAATGGAAAGCTAACTCATCTCACCTTTTGGAGACCACAGGTACAGATAAGGAAGCACAGAAGCAAAAGCTTTCCTTGTTCAATATAACAGATCTGTACACCTGGAAATGTTTTTATAACTATGAAATTCCTGAAACAATCCTGTTGTATCCATAATACAGGTTTGTTTTTTTTTTAAGATTACTTATTTATATATGCAGAACTGAGGTGCAGAGGTGGTGAGGAGATTCACCAGAGACAGAGTGGGGAGCAGAACAGGCAGATAAAGGAAGTACACTGCTGGGGGGAGCAGCGGGCGGGTCAGGAGAGGTCTGCCGCGCCTTGTGGTCACCTCCAGGGGGGGGATTGAATTCACACTGGAGTGTTGTAGCTAGCTTGCAGTGCTGCACCCTAACCCACTGCGCCACCAGGGAGGGCCCCCATAATACAGGTTTAAGATACATTTTTATTGTAAACAAATATAAATTATATCAAAGAAGCAGGATGTGAATAGTAGGAAACAGCCCTCCATCAAGAAATGACTAGCACAGAGTGCTTCAAGACACTTTCTGTTTGCTGCAAAACAGCCAGGATAGGTTTTCTCAAGTGCTAGAAATAGCTCCTTAGTTTTATGTGTCATTTCATCCTCTTACAGGAAAGCTATCAAGATCGAGAATTTCTCTCTCAGATCTTGGTTTATGATGGTTGAAGTTTTGTTGAATGTCAAACCACATTTTCCTCCATCAATTCCTCAGGACTCGTATTTTTCATTCACAAACCTGAAGCATTTTCAAGAATGTGAAAAGGAAAAAGGTCTCCGGCATGAGTCTCATGTTCTGTTCTAATTTGATCAACTATTTGTTTGTTAACTGAAGCCAACAGTGAGGAGCAGGGTGTGGAACTGGCCATAAAGTCCACAAGCCGGTCTGACATCATTTTGTCTTCAGGGAGTGATCTCTGTGGTTAATAATGCGACCCAAACCTGACGCATAGCCTGAAGATGGGGGTGAAGGGGCGGGGATGTGGCTGAAGCAAAGCTCCCCCTACTGGCAGTTTGTGCAGGTGCGAGGCTGATCTAAGACGTGTTTGCAGAAACCGGACAGTGAATGGTGCAGGACAGTGGTCCTGAAAAGGGACCTCAGAGGAGCTGCTGGATAGACAGCAGGAAGCACAGAAGAATTTAGATCCTGCAGGGCATCCTTGCATGCTAAATCAGCCGACCCCGCTGTCGCCACCAACACTTTTTGTGTGGGACATTAACTTCCCTATTTCTTTTTCCACTGCTGTTGTTAGTTGCAGTGAAACAATAAAATGCCAAGCAGCGCTGTGTCTGGCACAGAACAGCAGTGGCTACTATCGCACTAGTGGCCAGCTGGGTGCCGGACACCCGACAGTGGCGAAGAAGCACCCTCACTGCGCGCCCTTGGCCCAGTCTGGGACTCTTGCTCTGGCACCCTTCCTCCAGCCTTATCTCCGGATTGGGACCCGGTTCCTGCGGGGGATCAAAGTCAACGACGAGCATTTTTAGGAACAAGTCACTCTGAACTGATTGACACCAGTGAATATGCTTC